GGGATATTGCATGTAGAAATCTGGAAGCAAGGCTTTCCTTAGATAGAGGTCCTTGTGTCCACTGCTGGTGGCATTGGGTGGCAGTGGCCCTCCAGGAGAGGTGGGTGGCCCCCATCCCGCTGTTTCGCACACTCATCGTCTGCTCAGCTCTGAAAGCATCTGAGTGTATGGCTCCTGCAACAGGCAGATGCAAAGACATTGAATGCGAACATCGTGGAGGTGACCAGAGGGCTCATGTCACCCTGCAAAGCCTTGGGAAGTCTGTCCGATTCCCCCCAGTAGATTTGGACTCACTTATGGGTCTGAGGACAGAGCTGCTGGCAGGGTCTGAGGTTGTCTGGGCCACGGGGCTGCACAGAACGTCTTTCCGAGTCTCAGGCAGAGCCCTGCCCGGGCGGGAGCGGGCTGGGTGGGATGACGCTGACTAAGAAGCAGCTCTTAGCACAGGACTCGGCGTTTGTCAGTCGATGAAACCGAAGAGCAGACCTTGCCCACACCTCAGAGCCCGCTGAATGTGCTGACAGGTTTTTCCCACCCAGTCCAGGCCACTGTTGTGAGACATTTGCCTCCTGAGTGCTCTGAAATGTGCCCTCCAGGGAGGTTGCTTGGGAAACAGCTGGACTGTTTCCAGTGAAACGAGACCCTTGGGTGGCCAGGCTTCCCCAGGGGGATGTGCTCACCCCTGGGTCTGCCCACCAGAAACGCACCCCAGCCGGGGCTAGTGGTGGTCTCAAAAGCATTTCCTTGCACCCGTCGTAGTGATGAAGCCCAGGAAAGGCTTTAAGGCAGAGGACGATAGTGGTTATCCAAATCATTTAGGGGTTATAAAGAAAATAAAATCAGGTTTTCGTTCATTTTTAAAACGAAACATCCAAAGCGGGTGGGTTTATCCCACGCAGTTCACTCTCGAGCATTTATCTGGGGAATTGGGTGGTAGGGGGCAGTCACCCAAATAGAGCCTCTCAGGAACTTGGAGGTGGAACCACGTGGAGAAACCACTGCGAGGGCTGTTCCAGGGTGTGTGCACGGGCGGTGCATGGCAGGCTTTCTAGAGCCTGTGCAGTCAAAATAATCCTTGAGGACTCTCGTTAAGTGGCCCCGAATTTACCAGGGCCTGGATCCTTGGAGGCTTAGATGCTAAGAATTAACCATTCTTGTTTCTCAGATGTGGCCTCTTTTCCCTGGAACAGTGGTGGTCAAGGCCTGTTTTTAACTTTAAAAGAACAGTGGGTCAAGTGAAGAGATCCTCTCCTGCACTGTGTGATGTATGTGATGTGTGGGGTGTGTGTGTGATGTGTGGTGTTTGTTTGTGATGTGTGGTGTTTGTTTGGGATGTATGTGATGTGCGGTGTGGGTGATGTGTGGTGTGTGTGTGTGGTGAGTATGCGATGTGTGGTGTATGTGTGTGATGTTTGGTTGTGTGTGTGTTTGTAATGTATTTTGTATGTGTGTGTGATGTGTGGTGTGCATGTGGTATGTATGTAATGTGCAGTGTGTGTGATGTGTGGTTGTGTGTGTGATGTGTGGTGTGTGTGTGTGGTGAGTATGTGATGTGTGGTGTGTGTGTGATGTGTGTGATGTGTGGTGTGTGTGTGATGTGTGTGATGTGTGGTGTTTGTGTGTATGTGGTGTGTGGTGTGTATGTGTGGTGTGTATGTGATGTGTAGTGTGTGTGGTGTGTGTGTGATGTGTGTGATGTGTGGTGTGATGTGTAGTGTGTGTGATGTGTGTGGTGTGTATGTGATGTGTAGTGTGTGTGATGTGTGGTGTGTGTGTGGTGTGTGTGATTGTGCGTGTGTATGTGTGTGATGTGTGGTTGTGGTGAGTATGTGATGTGTGGTGTATGTGTGTGATGTTTGGTGTGTGTGTTTGTAATGTATGTTGTGTGTATGTATGATGTGTGGTGTGTGTGAGTGTATGTGTGTGTGGTATGTGTGTGTGTGTGCCTCTTTCTTTAATGATCCTATTATATGTGTCCTCTCAAAGCCGTGAGAGTAGGGGCCTTGTCTCTTTGGTTCTTCACTCAATTCCCAGCACCAAGAGCAGTACTTGGGGGGTAGGGGGTGCTCATTCAATAGAGACTGTGTGAACGAATCCATGTGTTTCCGGGTGTGCGGGTACATACATGTATGGACACGTATGCCTCTGGCATCATTCAGGAGACTTTGTTTAGCCCTTGACATGACTTTTAGAGTTGACGTGATGCCATAGAGAACATATGCTCCGACTTGCCACATTATAGGTCGGGGAAGCAAAGGTCCCAAGATAGGAATGCCCAGTGGAGCAAAAATAACACAGGTTCTCTGTCCCCAGTCCAGACTCTCCAAATGCCTCCTGGGGTCCAGAGGTCCAGACTAGCTTCCCTGCTACACTGTTCCACAGTACCGACTTAAAAGAGTACTTCCCAGGGAGGCTCTGTGTAGTGGTTTCCCACCCAGGCGCCACAGAGGGTCACGTGGGGGCCTTTGAAAAACCCCAGAGCCCAGTCTGTCCCGGGAACTCAGAATTTCTGGAGGTGGAAGTGGGACCAGGTATCAGCACTTTTGAAAGCTCCCCAAGCTGTTCCACTTTGGTTTTTCAAAATGTAATGTTTAGAGTTTTAGCATCAGAATCATCAGGGGCACTTACTAGAAGCACCCACTTCTGGACCCACCCCAGACCCAGGGAATCAGAACTGCTCTGCCTTAGGTCCCAGAACTGGTGTTTTATACTCTCCTGGGGATTCAAGGCTCAGTACAGTCTGACAACCACTGCTGCAGTGAGCATTTCAAGTGTGTGTCCCTTGGAAATCTACGCACATCTTCCGAGCATCCCTGCAGTCAGCCAGGAAAGGCAGTCCCCGCTCCACCCAGGCCTGGAGGGAAGGTCTACACTTTCTCTCTGCATCTCCTGCCGACGGATGCCCATGCATGCTCTACAAACCCTTTGCCAGATGCACTTAATCGTTTCCAGGTGCACTTTTGAAATGCAACCCGAGTCTCATCCAGTACCTGTAGGCACCTCTGCCAACTCTCACTGCAGGGCCCTCCCCCCGGGCTTACATCAACCTGTGGGCCAGGATCTTGAGTTCCTCATCAGGCTCTCCTACCACAAGCCCCACAGACACCCCCTCAGCTTCAGGGGCTGCCTCTTCTCCAACTGGCACTGGACTTCTAGGTCAGCCCGGAAGTACCCCGTCCACAGTGCCCATCCCACTGAGGGTCCCCTAGTCTCCGGTGAGATGTCCAAATAGCAGTGGCTGAAGTGAATCCAAGCCTCACACAGGGATTGACTTCAAGAAGTGGGAAATGGTGCCTGAAGCCGTTTGTACCTTTACATCAAAGGGGAGTGAGTCTTCCTCTAGATCCATGTCATTGGTCTAGAGACAACGTGACCTTGTCATTCAGAGAAAGAGATCCCCAGATGGGAATCTGATGTGTCCAGAGGAAACCTTCAGCTGCTCGTAGGAGGGAAAGAGGAGCACATAGCCACCATTTGATGAGGCAGGCATAGCTTCTCCCAGGCTGGAGCGCACAGTCTGGAGGTGACCTGGAGTCCTCTGCTCAGAACCTGGGCTGGTGGTCCTCTTATTTACAAAATGCATGCATCCCCCCCACCCCACCCCCAACAAGTGCCTTACCCCCAAATGGCCTATGCCTGGAGAGCTGGGAGTCACGGCGTCAGCTGAGACTAGACACAGTAAAATGTCTCCAGAATACACCATTCACCCACGACTTGCTGTTGCTTTTAGATCAGTGTGTTTTACGATAGAATAGAGGAAGCCGTGGGGGATGCTTGAATTTCCTCGGAGAATTAATTGTGGATATTGACAGGGAGTTGTTGTGAACAAGCTCGTGGGAACTCTAACAGTCCCATTCCTTCCAGAGAGCTTTTCGATTCCAAAGTCCAGAGAAGACCCTGGATTGCGAACACATTCTTGGAATATATTTACATCCGCATTTGTTTACCCTCCCCTTTTCCTCTCTCCTACAACGTAGGCAGGTCTAAGTTGTATGTTATGGTATCTTTCCCATAGTAGAAAGAACAATAGAAGTTGTGTGTTGGATTTAAATAAATATTTAATTCATGAAAATGATCTTATATGTTTTAAAAGTCTTTAAAGCTATTTTTATTCTCTAGAAAGTGCTTGTTATAGGTAAATTACACATTTTACTACCAGAGCATTAGGTTTGCCATTAGTACAAATTTAAGGCACTACAAAGACCAGTAGATAATGTTAATTCCAAATACAGAAACTAAATATATTTTGTGCCTTTTTATTACTCATTTTCTTTTAAGTTTTATTGACTGCTTTTTATCTTAACTATATGTCTTTACATGCTGCAATCATAATGCACTGTAATGGTATTAATATTTTATAGAATCGGTATTTATAGTTCTTTATTTAGAAACAATGCAGTAGGTCTGCGGATATCTGAGCCCGTCTGGAATGGTGCCCTCCAAATAATGATAAATTACTTGTGCAGTATGCCATTTGCTAATTATATCCATGATTTACTGCAGAGCAAGACTTAAATCATTCATTTCAGTCTTGCGTAACAGTGCCATAAAATTTTTAGGTTTAAAAATGGTTTCCATGTGTATAATTTAAACAAATTTTAGAGCTATTGTATACACAAAATATTGCAACCACCCATTTGTTACATACTTTGTCTTTTTAAACTTCTACTTTTAATGATCACTGTGGTTGAAATTATTATGCTTAATTTTCATAATCATAGCTTTTAAATCTACAGCCGTTTTCACATGTTAGATAAAGAAAAAGATAGCTAATTGTGTGTAGATAGTATGTCATTCCTGAATAGTCCCAAATGGTACAAAATCATTAAAAAAGCTTAAGAGTACGAATTATTCTTCTATTAAAAAACAGTTGTTCTCTAACTAATTATTAGTTTGAGCTGCTTTGTTTCCAAGAACAAATGTTGATCCTTCTAGCCTTGTTCAGCACACCAAAATGAGATTAACACTTTTTTTTTTCTCCTTATACCAAAATCTTGCAGGTGAGAAACCCTACAAATGTCCCCACTGTGATTATGCCGGCACCCAATCAGCCTCCTTAAAATATCACCTAGAGCGGCACCACCGGGAGCGGCAGAACGGAGCGGGGCCACTGTCTGGGCAGCCCCTGAACCAAGACCACAGGGACGAGCTGTCCAACAAAGCTGCTTTGTTTATCAGGCCAGACATCCTGAGGGGCGCCTTTAAGGGTCTCCCCGGAATCGACTTCAGAGGTGGCCCTGCATCTCAGCAGTGGACATCAGGGGTGTTCTCATCTGGAGATCACTCAGGGCAGGCCACTGGCTTGTCTTCTGAGGCTCCTTCAGACGCTCTGAAAGGTACCGACCTTCCTTCCAAAAGCACCCACTTCTCCGAAATCGGGAGAGCTTATCAAAGTATCGTGAACAACGGTGTGAATTTCCAAGGGTCCTTGCAAGCGTTCATGGACAGCTTTGTCCTAAGCTCCTTGAAGAAGGAGAAGGACATGAAGGACAAAGCCCTATCTGACCCTCCTTCCATGAAGGTCCACAGGGCAGACGGTGGCGAGGAGAAGGCGGGCGGCAAGGCAGCCCCCAGGAAGTCTGAGAAGTCTCAGTACGAGCCCCTGGACTTGTCCGTGCGGCCGGACGCCGCCTCCCTCCCAGGCTCCTCGGTGACTGTACAAGACAGCATCGCGTGGCATGGCTGCTTGTTTTGTGCTTTCACAACGTCCTCTATGGAGCTGATGGCCCTTCATCTCCAGGCCAACCACCTGGGCAAATCGAAACGCAAAGATAGCGCCGTCGGGGTGACGGTCAATTGCAAAGACCAAGCCCGGGAGGCCAGTAAAGTGGCCTTGTTGCCCTCGGTACAATCAAGCAAAGAGATGGCGCTTGCCAACATGATGGGGCCTCTAGACTCGGCTTCTGAAAAGATGGCCCAAGGACAGGTCAAAGAGACTCTGGGGGAGCAGAAGAGTGGCCCATGGCCCGGCCACATGGACCCTACATTCTGTAACTTCCCGTCAGACTTCTACAAGCAGTTCGGTGTTTACCCAGGTCTGCTGGGCTCGGGGGCCTCCAGTTCCTGCGCCAACAGGGAGCCCGACGGGAAGGCCCACTTGGAAGATGATGCCCCGATCCTGATCCCTGAAACCACAAATAAGAACACTACTGATGACCTCTCGGACATCGCCTCCTCAGAGGACATGGACTCCTCCAAAGGAGAAAACAACGAGGAAGAGGATATCGACACGGAGCCGGAGGTGATGAGCAAACCGCCTGCCCTGAGCAAGGATGGGGGCAGCGACGGTGGGGATGGCCTGCTGCCCGTAGGCGCCCCACAGCCCATCCAGGGACTGGTCTCCCCTCTACCCCAGGCATCGGAGAAGCAGTGGCACAGCCCGGGCCTTCTTCCAGCCCAGGACCCCGTGGCGAGCCTGCCCAAGCCAGAGCGGGGGCCCCAGGGCCTGGAGAAGCCGATGAATGTGCTGTCGGTCCTCAGGGCCTACAGCGCCGATGGCTTAGCAGCCTTTAACGGACTTGCAAGTAGCACAGCAAATTCTGGATGTATCAAGAGGCCAGACTTGTGTGGTAAGTTTTAGAATCCTCTTCCTTTAGTTCATTTCCCAAAACATCAGTGCTGATTTGTGCATTTTTAAAAAATGGGGTAGACTTATCCATGAGCAGATTTTGAACTACACATAAGAACTACCCCGACTATGCTGTATATGCAATATAGACAATCATGAGAGTCAACTTCATTTAGAAGTGTCGGACCTCGTACTTTCGTGTTTCAGTTTGCATCATTGTGATCTGAAATGCCTGTACGGAAGGCATGGAAAAGGGGGCGGGGTCTCACAGTGTGCACTACTCCTGTTTTTAACCCATAACTTGAGGGGGAAAGGAAAAATTTCAAAAAACAAAAAGAGAAAGAGACATGGTAACTTGCAAACTTTTCAGTCTTTTCAACTTATGCATAAGATGCCTAAAGACAATCCCTTACTGCTTTGCTAAGCCAAATCTGCTTTCTGAAACTTTTCTTGATAATGACTTGAGGATACTAAAATCATATCACACTAACCACAATGTAGAAATGAAATGGCCCTCTCTCCAAACAGGGAGATGGTTTGGGGTATTTGTGATTCATCTTCAGACATACCAAATGGCAGTTACTGTGACTTTGGCCTTCTATTATTGCCTTCTGTCTGTCTGTTTCTTCATCTGTTGTTCGAACAAGAATGTACATTATGAAGTCCCTGGTGAGCAGGGTTGTGATCCTGTGTGTCTTGGATTTATGCCTCTGCCTGATCTTGTTAGCAAACTGGCGCTTCTTTACCTCCTTCAAGAATATGGTTACTCCAAAGTAATTCCAGATCTTAACAAGTAATGCTAGATTTGAAGCCTAGACCTGCATCAAATCAATGTCGGCGTGGGCAGGGAGGATCAAAGTCATTCTCTTGTCACCCAGATATTCTTATTCGAAAGCCTTTCTCGGGATCGAAGCTCAGTATGTTATTCCCAGCCCCAAATATCCTCACTAGAGACAGATGACCACGGTCCCTTTCCATCTGTAATCTGTGAATGAATTTCTGTGACTTTACTTCACTTGTTGAAAAAAGGAAAGAAAGAAGGAAAGAAGGAAGGGAGGAAGGAAAGGAGAGAAGAAGGAAGGAAAATGGGTGGAAGGGAGTAGTATTTAACTTCTGAATCCTGACATTCCTTTTAGCACAGAGTGGGATTCAGCAAGCTGGACTCAGTTCATAATTTAAATTGATGTATTTCTTTTTCCCTCTCCTTCCCTAATTCACTAAGAACTGGATCAAGCAGTCAGAAATATTTTTTGAATTGTCAAAAATCACTAAATGGATTTCTGAGAGCTCAAAAAAATATTGACAGTTCCTTATGCTGAATGATTCATAAGGCCCCATTAACCAGCACCCCAGATCTATTTTTAGCCACATACAATTCATTACTTTTGAAGCTGTTAAAAACAATATTTAAAAGAAAGAGAAAAGAGTTTTATGTCAGTCCAATTTTTTTTTGCTCTTTTTTTTTTATTGTTGTTTTTAAGTTTGTGATTGGAGTGCTTTCTTTTTTATTGTTGTTTGGGGTTTTTTTTTTAAGTCTATTTTCAGTTCTTTCAAATACCTACGTAGGACCCATAGTTCCTGCCAGGAATCCATGAATCAGAAAAGATCAAAACCTGGCATGTTTATAAGCTCATTATTATTGAAATGAGCTCATATTACCCCTATTAATTTTCCCATCGTCCTATCAATGCCGAAGGAAGGCTGCCCGCCTTTGAGGAAGCGTGCCCACTTGTGTCCTTTTGCACCAGGCGAGGGTGGAGGGGAAGGCAGCACGAGGAAGCCCTTTCCTCCGAGCTGCAGCTCTTAGGCCCTTTTACCCCCTCCCAGAATAGCAGCTCACCACACTTCCCTGACATTTCCAGGGTACGTGCAAAAAAAACTTGCTTAGTCAACCTTTCAGCCATTGGGCAAAAGAGCCTGAGATGTAAGTCATGGCCTCTCTCCCAAAAGGGGAGTGAAGACCCTCAGGCCAGCCAGGCCCCAAGGCACCTGGTCGCTTCCCAGCGGACGGTCCAGGTCCTACGGATCCACCTTGAACTCATGGTGAGATGCCAAAACTAACTCCTGCCAAAACATGTCTATTTTTGGAGCGCACAAGTCCTGCATTTCATTTATCCCAATTTCTTCTGCATCCTCCCTCTTGCTTTAGCTTGGGAGCAGGCAAGGAAGGCCCTTCTCCGGCCTTTGTGTTTGCTTGGTTGGGGTGGAAGCCCTGTCCTTTCGCCTCCAGGACGGCCTGACTCTGTCCAGTTCTCATTCCCCCTTCCCATACCTGGCCCACCATAATCAAAATCCTCTTCTTGTTTTCTTACTGGCTGCTGTGACCCAGGAGGGCCAGGCATATTCATCCTTCCTAAGAATTGATATTTGTGAGGAAAACTTAAACCCACTGAGCTACAAAGGGGGCATTTGAGGACATTTTTTCTTACTGCCTAGTTTACTGCCTTTCTAGCATTGCAAAAAGCACAAGCGATAGTTGAAAACTTCAAACTCCCATTGGCTTGACTTTGCCAGGGTGGAAATGATATTGGCACAAGGAATCAAATATTCCTAATGTTTATTCCCTCCTCTCTGCTCCACTCAGAGTAGATATGGATTTCCAAACTGGCCCAGCAGCTTAATAGCTGGTTTCCTCAAGAAGCTGGGCTTTGCCTAACCAAAGAATTATTCTGACAGTTCTAAACAAGAGAGTTTGGGGTCTGATTTGATCTGGTTAGTAAACCCAAATCCCCACTTTGACACCCTTAGAAACAGGCTTGTGGGAGGAGCTAATGTCTGTCTGTTTCTATTCTCATGAGTGTAGAAGTATTAGAAGAAGCATCAGTAAAGACGTTGTTCAAATCACATAGACCGCCCCCGCCCACCCCACCCCCCAACTAGAGCTCAGTGGCTCTGCTGACACATGCTGGTAAGTGGAGAAGGTGGCTTCTAACCCTAAGTCTGTGGGTGATCTTCACGCTATAGGCCCTACTTCTGGATGCTTCCTTAATTCTGCATGCCTGCTTTCTGACTTTTAAACCTCTGGTCTTTCATTCCTTGGTTCATGGACCTGGGTCCTGGACAATGTGTGCTGTCCACTGCTAGGCAACCCAGCCAGCCGGGTAGGGGAAGTATGTAGCGTGTGCCAACGTTGAGAGCTTGAGCATGAATTTTCAAAAGATCAGAGGCACGCTACAGATGACCCCGAGGAGGAGATTGAGCCATCTTGGGTTAAGCTGAAGGACATGCACTGTTGCTTCTAGAGTGAGTCAGTTCCCACTCTGGGCCTCGTTACAAGAAGTCGTGCTCCGATCAAAGTCCCCATTTCGTGAGGTGGTTTCCAGACTCCAGGCATGGCCTACCTTTCTTTATTCTGTCGAAGAGCATAACGTACAAGGGCACTCCCGGCTGTTGGAGAACTCTGATGTGCCCTCGGTGTTTTGGGAATGGATTTGACCTTGGTTTTGTAATGGGACAAGATCCATGTGAGTATTTAATAAGGGGGGTAAGGGCAGACCAGGGCAGCGTCACATCCACTGACAAGACAAGGCAGACAGCCCCTTTGTCCAGCCTGAGAAATCTGACAAACTATTGGGACAGCCAGTAGCTCGGAGATCTGAGAGTGCTCTGGTGGGCCCTAGTCAGCACAGAGGCTGGGCTGCACAGCACCTGGGGGGCTGGCTGCATGGCCCAGGTACAGAGCTTGCTTCACTCCAGAGTTTGTGGATTTAGAAAGAAACCCTTACTTTTGCTTTTGAACCTGAGACAGATGTCTGGGAGCCATCGTGTACTGAGTCTTGCAAGCAGAGTTTGCTCTGTGTGTTCTTTGGTGAGCCCAGGGGTAGTGTTGATGGGGAAGAACTAAAATCAAATTAAGGGAACATGAGTGAGAAGAGTGCAACCCCCTTACTCTTCGAAGCTCTGCTCTGGAGTTACCGCCACTCAGGGAAGCCCGGCTGAGTGAGGAGAATCTATCAGCTTGTCTATTGTGGGCATGAGGCCCTTGTGTTGTGGCTGCCAGACTAAGTGACCCACCAGAGTGGGGAGGAAGCCCGTGAGAAGGCAGGGTCATTACCAGCAATAGCCCCAGTATTCCCAGTTGGGGGGAACCTGGCTTCCCTGACCCAAGTTATGCCTGCGACCCTGAATTCTCTCATAGCAATGAGAAAATTAGGACTCCCTTCCTGAAAAAAAAGATGGGGTCTACTTAAACCTCTGTACCTCATGTATTCTGAAATGTGTGATGAAATGAACCAGGATAACGAAGCTGAACTCTTTTAAAAGGTGACTCTGTCCTCCAGAAACCTTGTTGATTTCTCAGCATAGGCAGTCTGAAAATATTCAGGGGCGGGCAACTGTTTTCTTAGAAAGCCAGAGAGCCCTTAGGCTTGCAGGCCCTGTGGTCTCTGCTGGGCAGCACGAAGCAGACAGTAAGCAATAAGGAAGCGAATGGGCATGGCTGCGTTCCAATAAACTTCATTTACTAATACAGACAGTGGGCTAGAATTGGCCCACAGATCCAAGTTTGCTGGCCCCTGCGCTAGTATAAAGAAGGTTGTGTTGCTGTGGTCATCCTAGAGAAGACATGTGAAAGCCGTCCTCTGCTACCCCACTGGCCAGTGAGATGATGCAGGCAGGACCCAGGCCAGCAGCTACAACGTTCCATCTATTGCCATTTAATGCCAGAGATCTGAGAGATTTTGCAGAGAGAGAGAGAGAGAGAGAGAGAGAGAGGACTTGTAGACCCAGGTGGCCTGGAGTAGCTATTTCTGGAAGGTCACATCTCTACCTATGCATCAGAGACTTCCAGGGCTCTGAAAGGCTGCCCCCCATCATGGCCAATGTGGGCAGAGGAGGAAGACACAGGAGCTCTTTCTTGGCTCTGAGGTGAGCTTGATGGACAGAAGTGTGAGGATAAAAAGAGGCAATGGATGTATAAGAGCTTGGATAAATGGTTCTCAGTTGAGCTGGTATTTTCTGGAAGGGGTGAACGTCCGCATGAGGCTATCACAAGGAGATGAC